GATGATAAAGGTATAAAAGACCTGCCGTGAAATCTCCATAGGTAAGACATAGTCAGAAGAGGAAACTAGCTAAGAAGGAGTGCTTATTTTAGATAGGCACAGCATTGTGTGATGAAGACCAAAGAGGGAGGTAAGTCCTCACACTTAATGAAAAAACACACCAACTGGACTATGTTTTTAATGAAAGGCTATTTGTTTTCTTCAACAACACCTTTGTGCAAATGTATAGATATTTCTTAACTCAGGCTGAACTTCAATGTCTTAGTAGAACTAGATGAATCAGTGATAGGGTATGAAAATTATAGTTAATGATTTTTTGCCATTATATGGATATTAACTTAATGCTCTTATGACACTATTTTGCCAATTACAATTTATGACAATAGTCACTAAGACATTGGTCGAAGACCAAAAAGAGAATGAAGGGAGAGTTAATAGGCACATTTTTGTTTAGAGTTTATGATTAAAATGGTAAATAACCCTTAGGTGTGGACCATTGAAGACAATAATAGAGAAATACTGCTTGAATATTTGGGATACATATTAAAAATTGTAACTTCATATTTGGTCCTACCCTATTCGTTGGTCATTGGTGATGCTATGTGTTCAAGACCAAGACGAAAAACTTCTATGTATTAGATTATTGGTTAGTATTTTGAGTATGAAAGGAGAAAGAAAGAGGATGAGAGTGTTAAAAAAGGCAAGAAGCTAGTTGAGAAAAAGAGGAAAAAAAACAAGACAAATGGATATAAAGGAAAAGCTAGGACATGCTTGTGTATGTCTACACTTGTCATTAACTTCATATTTACTTGTCATTTCTTTATGCATAATTGTTGATGGATATTGTTAACTTTTTTCAAAGGAATTGCTTCAACCGAATGCTCCTTACTATTAAACTAGATTTATTTAATGATGACTCAAGTTTAAATTTTTAATTAGGCCATTCACAACTGGGATAGGAGGGTTGACAAGTTGGATAAGGGGAATGCCAATTGGATGAGGGACATTCACAACTTATCAAGTTTAGGTGTAACAACAATATGAGCAAAGGTACAATTATTACAAGGCAATCATTAATAAGTGGGCAAAGGGGAAGGACAACTGGGATAAGGGGGATTGACAAGTTAAGTAGGGGGAATGACAACTAGGAAAGAGACATTTACAACTTACCAAGTTTTAAGTGTGACAACAATCTGAGCAAAGGCACAATTATTGCATGGCAATCGTCAACAAGTGGGCAAGGAAAAATGACAATTAAAAAAGGGGAATTGACAAGTTGAGTAGGGAGAATGACAACTAAGAGAGTGACACTCACAACTTATCATGTTTTATGTGTGACAAGCATTTAAGCAAACGCACAATTATTATATGGCAATCTTTAACAATTAGGGTAGGGGGAATGACAAGTCATTAAGGGGGGATGATAACTTTCTTCATTCATTATTAACAAGGCTTACATTAGTATTTACAACTTCAGCATATAGAGTAATTGTAGAAACATCATCCATGCATTGACATAATATTGACAACCTATTTAAAAATAACATCATGGGCTGCATGAATATACTGCACCTTTTGATGCATTTACAGGAAAATATCATATGCATTTATAAAAAAATACCATATAAAGTTACAAAAAGTATCAGCAATGTAAACCAAAAAAAATGCATCTCCCTAGCATTAATCAGCATGGATTAGGGTTCTTGCAAGCATGAAAGTATGACCAGCCTGATATATCTTCTACAATAATAAAACTTCTTCTTTTGAAATCAAAATTCACATTTTTTTCGTCTTAGGCCTTCTTAAAGGCCTTTTAGTCTTCGATAACTCCAAGAATGTTTGGGTTAACATATTTGTCACTATCAATGCACCTAAACATGGGATATCATGTGTGGACACAAGCCTCATACTGAGAGCATAAATTTTTTGTTGTGATGTCAACTTATAGCAATACCCACATATATGTACACATTTTCATGAACTAGCTTTATTACTGCACATGCATGTGCACAAGGTATTCCACTCATTTGCCATGTCAAATAAGTACATTCATATGTTGCAATATCTACATTCAAATGAATTATCCCTTAGGAGAAAAGGTTTGTATCAAGATCCAATTTTCTTCATAAATTGTGAAAATTTTCAATCCCCACAACTTGCTCCATCAATTTTGCCTCTATATTAGGTCCTACCCCATCTTTCTAATGAATCATAGCCATTTTGGATGCCAACATCTTGTTTGTCAATTTTTTCTTGATGCTCATATATTAAAACATCAACGTTGTGCTTTCTCTCCTTCACAATCCAAGCATTAAATGATTTAACAAGCTTTGTTATAATGTTATCCTATCATTTATAAGAAAACTTAAATTTTTCCCATCAATCTATATCCTCTTGAGCTTTAACTATTATGCCAATTTTGAACTGAACAATCTAAGGTTCCCTATGATAATATTAATTTTTTCTTATGCCCAGTATAAGCAATAGCATCAAGCACTTTGAATATAACCTCTTTGCTATTCTTAATGTCCTCCTCTAACCTTTATTGATTTTTACATATTCTGCACTAAAATTTTCCTTCACATAATGGTAGCAATATACATGTCTTTCGCCACTAAAGATAGCTTGCATAGCCCTAACAATAGCATTATGTCTATCAAAAACTAATGTTATCTCAACCGATCTTGTGATGTCTTTGACACTTTTGAGAAACCAAGACTAATCTTTTAAATGTTTTCCCACTCATAATAGCATATGCTAGTGGAAATAGGTCATTGTCCTGTGTTGTAAGCAGAAGCTATCAACAATGTTCTCTTCTATGGATTGTTTAGAAAGCATCTATCTATATGTGTCAATAACCTTCTAGAAAACCTAAAATACAGCATCATATGCAATGGATAACCTCTCAAATCTATTACTATCAGAAGCATCCCATTTGCAACTATTGTTGGATCAATTTCACTTAATCTATCACAAATCTAAGGGATTATCATATAAAAATTCTTGTAGAAGACCATGTATTTCTTGTATCAATTTTTCTATTCCCCTATATACTTGATTGTAGGTAATCGCACACCATACTCTCTATATAAGTCTCTTCTAATTTCATTTGTACTCTTGCTTATAGTAGACCTCAAAGCATTAGTAATGATCGGTGATGTTAAATTTGACCTTGCTCGTGTGTGAAACAATAAGGTTGTCTTGTGCAATATGGATGTGCTTGCTATTGAATCTTGTTACCCTCAAAGATCCACTATGCTTTCCTATTGAATATGCGGCAATATTCCATGGACAGCTCTCATATTGTACTCAGCAATAACCTTTTTGTATTATTCTTCTCAAACTTATATGAAAACATATGCCCACTACTATACTTGTATAAAGTTTGTCTGAAGGCCATTATGTCAGTAAACATTTAGCCCTTACCTACAAACAAGTCATTCCATTTCGATGAATTCATTTTAGGTATGCAGTAGGTTACCATTTGTATAGCACATTCTAATAGTAAGTCTTCAATCTTAGGACACAAACTAAGTAGAGATAAAGAGCCTCCTCCTGAACCTCCCAATAAATTATTTGTCTTATAGAAAATTACAATCCAAACACATTAGTAATACTACATCTTAATATTATCTATGTTAACAAAAATAATTAACACAACTTACATATTTTGGTACTCAGTTTGTTATCCATTAATACTTGTACAGTGTCATTTTTATTTGAAACTATTACATGTCCAACTTTTTCATTTTACTTAACTAAATATTCTACTCCATCATCATCAAGAAGATCTATAAGTATACTTTTGTCAATGCTAAGTATGAACTTCATCTCACTTCTAATATTTTCGCACCCAATAATTGATGATAACATTCTTCTCAGTTCTTCATAACTTATCCCTTCCTTTATACTTCTTGTTCTTACACCCCCACTCATATATTGCATACTACTTTAGCCATCATATGTAAGTTTCCCTCCTATATGAAAAAATATAATAGATGTTTCTAGAAGTACTAGCCATCTTTTTGTCAACCTGCAAATATACAACATATTGATAATTACCCATAGAATATTGACAACTTAAACTTCAGTAATTAACAACATAAACAAGATATTGTCAACCTGTATTGCACACAACGTATTGACAACTATCCATACATATTAATAACTTAACCGTTATCTATTAACAACACACACAAGATATTCTTACCTACATGACACACAACATATTAACAACTACTATAGTATATTGACAACTTACGTTTCAGCTATTAACAACACATTTTACTATCTCATGACAGACTCATTAGCTCAATCAAGTAGTACTAGATCTTGAATACATTATTATTAATGTAAGGCCAATGACCACCTATGATAAATGTATCAATCAAAAGAGCGAGAGAGAGAGAGAGAGAGAACTACCCATGACTCATATGCCTATAAGGAGAGAAAGAGACAACCATATTCTATCAACAAGTAATAAAACACCAAATGAAATAATTAACAAGGAGGTATATGCAAATCAATTTCATCATTTACCTAATATCATGAGGTCACACTATCAAATTCTTTAAAGCTCAAAGTTGGGTACAAGAAGGTTTGAACATCAGCCCTCTTCCTTCACAAACTTCTACACACCTTAAATTAAAGATGATCACAAGAATAGTTCACCTTCTAGCTATACGATGATCCTTCTGTATCTCATTTGAAAGATGATTGTAAGATGCACCTTAGCTACTTTTGCCTCTATCATGCGTGAAAACAGGTCTTCTTTCCTTTATTTTTTTTTCCTTTTAATTAGTCAAAGGCTAATAAGCCGTTTTAGTTTTAGAATTATTTACCTTTAAAGATGATGGGAGTTCATAATAATTTATTTTATTTGTGAGAACTCATTGTATTTAACTCTATTCTATTGTAATTTTTTCAAATTAAGTTGAAAAGATAATTTTTAAAATTGAAATTCGTTAGATCCCTCCTGGCTCCTCTGATCTCCCCTTCACTGCCACCTACCAATGGGGCTCACGAATAGTTGCCGACCGTTCAGACTTGAAAGTACTCGGAAGAGTAGGTCCGAGAATTCCAGGCCAGCTAACGAAATTCGTACGGTTGGTTGTGTTGTCGTCTTCTATCTTCTGTGCCTTGAATTTCTTCAAGAACGCACAGCTCCTTTTAGAATAATGTATATTGTGCCCGAAGCATTTGTCGAGAGAAATCATGGAAGGAGAGGTGAACGAAGAAACACCTCTGAATCACTGGGAACAACCTAGAAAACATCGGTCCCTAACACCAGTCGTTGCCTTCAGTTCATTAGTTGCTCTCTGTGGTTCCGTGAATATAGGATATGCTGTAAGTACCATCTCTCTCTCTCTCTCTCTCTCTCTCTCTCTCCCCCTCTCCCTCCTTGTGGCTACATCAATGCCATTAATTACCACTTTTGGATCTCATGATTTTGCAGTCAGCATTCTCGTCACCTTCTGAATCAGGAATCAGGAAGGATTTGGGACTCTCTGTTGCGCAAGTAACTTTCTCTTCTGAAATTCTCCAATTTGCTTCCACTATCTCTGTCTAACTTGCTAACTCGACCTGTCACCTAGTACTCCTTTTTCGGCTCAATATTTACAATAGGGGGAGTGTTTGGTGCACTCATCAATGGGAAATTAGCTGATTTCGTTGGCCGAAGAGGTGTAAGTCTTCTCATTACTTCTGCAAAACATGCTTATTTCCTTGACACCTTGTATCACCTCCCAACACTCAATTCTTTCTGGCATATCAGGCGCTGTGGCTGGCTGATGTTTTCAGCGTAGCTGGGTGGATTGCCGTAGTTCTTGCAAAGGTTGGTTTCAGTGTTCCCTCTTTCTCCACTAATCATTTGTAAGCATAGACGATAAGGTGTGGTTCGTTAATGAATTGCAGAATGCTTTCTGGTTGGACCTTGGCAGGCTGCTTTTGGGCTTTTCAATTGGGATTGTAACTTTCGTGGTAATTGATTATTTTGGGTTAATTATGTTTGCTAGGATCATACGATGTATATAATTCGATAACTCAATATCCGAAAATCAGAATATTTTCTATCCAAAACAGGTGCCCATGTATATTGCAGAAATATCGACCAAGGAGAGCAGGGGACAGTTCACATCAGCAAATCAGGTCTATATTTACATATGTAATGCGAAAAGATCTTGAAAATGTGGACAGGCCAGTATTTAAATGCTTGAAGTGACTAATTCATGTGCAGTTGCTGATATGCTCTGGAATTTCTCTGGTATATATCATCGGCATCCTTATTAACTGGCGCATTTTGGCTCTTCTGGGTTATTTCTTCTTATTCCTTCCTCCCTCTCATTTGGGCTTTGGCTTAGTTGAAAACCATCAACGTTTCAATCTAACTCTTAATACTGCTGCAGGTTTAATTCCTAGTCTCCTACAAGCTGTTGGACTATTTTTCATTCCAGAATCTCCTAGATGGATGGTGAATTATATTCAAATTCTTAGACACATTCACTTCACATGCACCATCCGTGAAACATGCATGGATAATGTCCACATTGAGCTCACCGATTGTTGCCTGTCTGGGCCTTTAAGTGAAAAATAGCAGCTATAATAAATGTAGGCAAAGGCTGGTCGCGAAAAAGATGCTGAAGCTTCACTGCAACGTCTTAGAGGCAAAAATGCTGATGTTAGTCAAGAAGCTGCCGATATCAGAGTAATGTTAGCCTTCACTTAATTATAATTATTTGTGTGTGTGTGTGTGTATCAGCGACAATATTCTTATATTCATGGGGGATTTGACAGGATTTCATAGAAACTATGGGACAACAATCAGAAGGGACTATTTTTGAAATATTTCAGAGAAGATATGCCCGTGTATTAGTTGTAAGCAATTACTTAGCAACTCTATGCTTATAAATAAAAGACTGGTTAGTTATATACTTGTATTTACTTGGATATCTCCTTTTTTTCCTTGTGATTATGATAGATTGGGGTTGGTTTGATGTCACTGCAAAATTTTGGGGGCGCAAATGCAATTTCATATTATGTAAGTTCCATATTTGAAGAAGCCGGTAAGTCAAATGCAATGCTTATGACGAATATATTGGACTTCTAATTTTACAAACATTCTGTGTAATTAGATGAAAGAATCGTCTGTAACTTGGTATGAAATTTGTCAGGATTTTCAAGTACCATTGGAACCGTAGCAGTGGCCATTGTAGAAGTATGCCTTGCGTGGGTTTTTATGGTTAACTAGCTGCTACAGTGAATGTATTTTTCTGACAGTTTAATGATGTGATTCTGCAGATTCCAGCTGTTCTTGTGAGTGTAATCTTAGCTGATAAATTTGGAAGACGGCCTCTTCTAATGGTGAGAAATGAGAATGGTCTTCGAAGATTTTGTTCAGATATGACTGATCTTTATTGATTTAAAGTAGAGGTGACGATGTGACATTTAGTTAATTGTTTGTAGTTGTCTGCTGCTGGAATGTGTTTGAGCTGCTTTCTCACGGGTTTGTCGTTTTGCTTTGAGGTTTATATACGCCGCAACTAAAGTTGTACATCTTTTTATTTTCCTTTATGCACACACCACGCACGGATGCACACGCAAATATATAGCTACAGGCTATAGTACATTCATAAAATTCTTGCACTCTATGATGACCAGGAAGCTCATTTATTCAGCAAGCTTGCTCCAATTTTGGTGCTCATTGGAATATTGGTAAGTGTTCAATATATGTAGGCCATATTTTATGCACGATGCGTTTGGTGTAAATTTATATATATATATATATATATCTCAGCATTGTCCAATATAATATTAGTTGTTGAAGTAGCAAGTATTTTGTTTGAATGACAATGCATTCAGGGATATAGTGTAGCTTATCCGCTGGGTGCGGCGGGAATACCATGGGTGGTAGTGTCAGAGGTTTGTAGTTTTTCTCCATGTTTGTCTGATCAGATTCACTAAAACTTTTGGGATATGCATAATTAATTAGAAAAATATTACTTTTAGTCCTTATTCTTTGCTCAAGTTTTCTTACAGGTCTCTGTAATTTTTTTTGATGTTCTAAGTTTATATACTTTTCTCCATATGCAATGTTAGTCCCTATAATTTTAGAAAGACATCGACATGTCATAAATAGTGTTAAGATTGTTGAAGTGTCCACTAGCACCATTAATTTTATGCCGGTGTGTTAAATGGATGCCAAGTTGGATTTTTGAATAAGAAAAATAAATTAAAAAAGCTATGTCAAATAAAAAAACGACTAGCTTGGAGTTAGGAAAAAAAAAAACTCTCAACTTAAAATATCTATAAAATATTTCAAAAAGTATTTAAAATGTATTTAATCTTGATTTTAAACTTAAGACTTGCAATTTTTTAAAAAAAAAATTGAGTCTTTTAATTTTTTAAGTATCCCAAAAATATCTATAATTAATTTTTTAACTCCATACCAACTTTTTTTTTTCCTTTGATGTTGCTTTTTTTTTTTTTTGGTTTATTTTGCTTATTAAAAAGTCCAACTCAGGCACTCAGCACCCATTTAACACATTTATGTCAACAATCTTAGCAACGTTTGTGCTACATTGCCATCTGAAACTATAAAGACCAACATTATAAACAAAGAAAGGTATAGGGGCCCGAAACACCGAGGAAAAGGTACAGGAGCCTATAACAAAGCTTGAGCAAAGTATAGGAACAAAAAATAATGTTTTCCTTTAATTATACACAAACACACACACATGCCAATGTTAGAGAAAATGATAGTGGCTGTGGATTTCAGATATATCCAATAAATATAAAAGGTTCGGCGGGCAGCTTGATAACGGTGACCAACTTTTTATGTTCATGGATGGTGACGTACACTTGCAACTTCATGATGGAATGGAGCGAATCAGGTAGCCTTACCACATCCTTTTCCTCGAAAGAAGCCTGCTAGCATCCTCTGTTGCATCAACATGTTTGTTGTTTGATTTGCAGGAACGTTTTTCATATACACCATTTTTTCTGGTTCGCTGCTCCTGTTCGTCACAATGTTGGTGCCAGAGACCAAGGGTCGAAGTTTGGAGCAAATCCATGCATCACTCACCCATCATCCACTCTAAATCTCTTCAAACCTTGTTAATTCCCAAAAAATTCTGCTTTTAGACACCATTGTTCTTGCATGATTGAGTCGTGCTTATGGGTGTCTAGCATCATTTCGAGATATCTAGTACACTACTTGCAGCCTTACTAGCAGCAATTTTTTTTTTCTTGTTAAACAATATATATATATATATATATATATATAAAGCACAGCTTCTTGGCGTGCGCTTTATTTAAGAATGTCAAAATGTAGAGCCAAAACATGTCGGAATTATCTTAACATCTTTTAAGATTTGAAAAAAAGATTTCACTTGTGAACTTTCAAAGACACAAGATGCTTCCTCTTGCTAGATCCTTTTCACTCCAGATGAGCAAGCCAACATGGTTGATCTCAATGCACTTATATGGCCAAGTCATCTGTTTTCAGTCACTTCAGTGAAATTGAAGATTTAGGGATTAGAAGCTGATAGCATATTTCAGAACAGATCAATTAGCTCAAGTTATATCGCTGCCTTGATTTGTATTGCATAAAAGTAGGAAGAAAAGTGTTCAGCATTTGAAGCAGCCATCACCTTTTCTTTTTTCCCGCCCTTAAAGGGCTACTGCACATTGTTTTTGGAAAAATAACTTATTTTTTTTGTCTTAGTGAGTTTCTGATAAGTTATTCACTTCTCCTTTAGTATGTGTTTGGTTTTCAATCTATCGACTTAGAGAATGGAACTACTTGTTTAATTTGGTAAAAGTACATTTCAAATGTCATTTTGATATACTATTGAAAGTTACCCAAACAAGCCTTTATTTTTGTGCTCCAATAGATTAAACTCCTTCTATACACTCAGAAAGAAAAATATGGCATTTACAACAAAATGGAAAAAAAAAAAACCCAAGGAGGAGTTAAAATCTTAAGAAAGATCAATTGCTAAATGGTCAAAATAGTGATTCATAATTCAATTGATGGATTTAAATTAAATTAGCATGTTTTTCTTTTATATAAAAAAATATTAATTACTATAAAAATGTTTTGACCTATCCATTGCTATGGGTAAAAACTCGAATAAGAGTCAGTAAAAATTTTTGAATTTTCAGTTTATTACTTTTGTAATATAATTGAATTTCATTGATGTTATATACCAAAAGAAGTTAAAAAATACAAATGTCATAAGAAAATTGTGGGGACAGCATATTCTTTAAAAAAAAAAAAATTAAGTACTATTTATGACAAAGGGAGGTATAATGGTCCTACAAAATTAAATTCGGTAAGTTAACTGCTCATTATTAGTTGGGTAGATGGAAAAGGGAAGGGAGCTTTGTGTAAGTGCTACAAAAATGTTTTGACCTAACAGTCGCTATAGAAAGAGTTTGAATAAATGTCTTTAAAAAAATTTAAATCTTAAATTAATTACCTCTATAATATAATCAGATCTTTAAAGCATCTAATAGTATAAGAATAGGTGTGTAGAACAAATAGAAATCACAGCTCGCATTTACAATGAAGCATGTGACGGAGGGAGAATGACCATACATTTTCATTGAATCCAGCAAGTATTAAATGTAACATCCTAAAAATTTTAAGACTCAAATTTATTTAAAAAAAATAAACAAAAATAAAATAAAATATCTATAATTAAATTAAAATTTAGAATAATTTAATAGAGGCCCAGAGTTCGAATTTTACTAAGCAAAAGTTTGGTTTTATTTGATTTTTAACTATGAGAAAAATTACCAAAGTTGATCCGGGCTTTTGTGCAATAATAAAAAATATTGGGCCCTTTCTTGTAATTTTTTCCAAAGTTTTTGACCAGCATTTTAAGGAGCAAACTGATGCAGAAACGCAGAGAAAATGAGAAAGGAAGCAAACGTACAAACGGGAGAGAGAGAGAGAGGAAGAAGAGAAGAGAAAGGGAGGGAGTTAGGCTTGGATCTAGGAGTCTTTGCGACCGTTGCGAGCTCGGCTACACGATAGGTAAACTCCCTACTTCAATCCTCTTCTCTTTCTCTTGATTTTCTTCAATTTTTGGAAGAGGAAATTTTTGGATTTTGATCCCAAAGGCTTTATTCTTGTAAGCTTTTGTTTCTTTGGATTCTAGGGAGCATGTTTTGAGTTTCTATATAGTGATCTAATGTTTTGAGTGAATAATTGGATGAAAAGAGGTGTTTTGGGCACAAAATAAACCTTGAGAAATTGGGTTTTTGCTCCTCAATGGTTTAAGCCTATTGATTTAGTTATAATTTTGCTATTTGAGCCCAATAAGATTTAAATTAAGGTTTGGTTTTCATTATAAGGGCTAATGGTGAAAGTTGGTGGCACTAAGTAAAGGTTTTTAATTGATTAAAAAAATTATATAAATTGAAAATTAGCCTAGTGATGGCTAATAAATGATTTTGGTGGTTAAGTGATACTATGTGAATGGTTGGTTTAATATATGGACCATTAGGGTGGATTATGACTCATTGACCTAAGTTGTGTGGTATAAGTTATAGTCTTCATTAATACTATTTGTCATGATAAGTGATGTGGATCACTTATATGTTGTAGAAAATTGTTGGTGGAACTTATTGAGAAGTAAGGAACAAGCCGAGCCCTATTTTGTACAAGGGGAACCCTTTTAGTACCAAAGGGTTGAGGTAACAGGGGAATTTATATTTCTTATTACTTTGTTTTAGCTATTTTTGAATAAATATTACTAGTTATCATGCATTACATGTTTTAAAAGATTAAATGTGCTTTATAAGGGGTTATGGGGTACTACTTTGATTATAGTGCAAATATGTTTTCTAATTGTTTAATAACAATGTTTTTATGGAAATGAGATTTATAAATATTATACTACTTTAGAGTGTTGAATGGTCAATACTCAGGAAAGGTAGACAAGAGTAAAAGGCATGATCTCGGTGGGAGTTCACCAATGAGAAGGTGTGGATTTTTGATATTCTATGGCACACTGTCAGTACTCAGTGTTGTCTTACGTATTGTGGGCTCAGTGCACTAAAGTGGTTAGTGTATTGAGTGTTCGACACCTCTCAGTGGGGGAGGGAATCCGACATATGAAGTGTGAGGTTGAGTGCCTAGGCCAAGGTAGCCCTCACATGGAGAGTAAGTCGGGCTGGCTCTGGGAGGGAGTTAGCTTTGACTGCTCAGGATTCACGTCGAAGGGGCATAGGCGGTTCGGTGGATTAGATCATGCCTTAGATTATGTTTTGTGCCTGTGGAGGTACAAGTAGGTATAAGGTTTACCTGCGAGTTAAAGAGTGCCAAGGGGCATTCTGTTGGTCATGAAAGGCCATACCGGCCTAGGTCATGCATTCATGCATTTTAAATGGCTAAATTATATACTATGTTGAATTTATTATTCATTTATTTGATTATGGCTTACTTTGTAATAATCAATATAGATTTCACTGTTACTGAGACTGTGGTTGTCTCACCCCTTTCTTTTCAATATTCTAGGTCCAGGCGAAGGATCCAGTGGTGGACGGGGAAAAGAGCAAAGCTAGGGGTTTGCTTGTGATTTGTAAAGAACTGCAACCCCTTTCTTTTGAGCAAATATATTGTAATGTATTTAAGATTAGGGTGCCAGTAGGATATGATTATGTGTGTGTGTGTGAATATGTGTGGATTGTGTGCTTGTGTATGAATTTTTGTCTGTTTGCAGACTTGTGGCTAGGAAACTTGGTTATGGTGTGTGGTTTTGATGGATTTACTTAGTAGACCAAGTTTCTATTACAAGCAGATCTTTATTTTGATATATATGTGATTTTATAAGCAAATGCAAAGTGGTTGCATTGCAAATGGTGTGCTATGGGAAAACATACAGCTTGGATAGAGAGAGTGGGTGCGTGGGCCCCACAAGGAGCTCTGAGCCAAGTGAAAATGTTTAGCATATGTATTTATATAAATACATGGTATTTGGATTGATTTGTGACCACTCTTGTATGATTTGTGCATTTTGGGGGTTTAGGGTCCATTTTAGGAAATGGCACCCGGGTGGTCAAATTTTGATGTATGGGGGTTTTCCATCATTTGAATGTTCTATCAAGTGTTTTTAATCTTATTTGACGTGTCCAAAGTGTTTCCACAGGTTTGTGACCATTAGGATGGGATTTGGACAATTTTGAAAATGGTTTTTACCAAAAAGCTGCACTTTTGCATCCGGGTGTCCAAATCTTAATCCGACCGTTGGATTTCTCTAAAATTTGGGTCACAAGTAAAACCTTTTATAAGCTTCGTGTGGGCTTTGGAATCACGTCGATCGGATATCGGACGGAGAAACGACGCACTCCGGAATTTGGTCTGGAGGTGCTGTCATGACAGCATTAAATTGCTGTCATGACAGCTACAGTGTTGATTTTGTAACCTGCACAAAATTCAATCCGTCCGTTGGATCTTTTCAAAATTTAGTATGCTAATAGTATTCTTTAAAAGTGACATGTGGGCTTTGGAATCACTCCGATCGGAGGTCAGATGATGAAATGGTGCACTCCGGAAGTTGGTCCGGAAGTGCTGTCATGACAGCTTTTTAGCTGTCATGACAGCAAAAATAGTCAATCTTTTAACATGTCTAATTTTTAATCCGACCGTTGGATCTTTTTGAAATTTGGTACACTTATAGTACCCTTTGAATGTGACGTGTGAGCTTTAAAATCACTTCAATCGGAGGTCGAATGACGGAACACCGCCTCCTGGAAGTTGGCCCAGGAGGGCTGTCATGACAGCAATAAATTACTGTCATGACAGCATCTTTTTATTCCATTTTCGTCTAACTTGCTTCCGTGCGCTATAGGTAGAACCTATAATTATTTTTAAGGTTTTAAATGATTTATTTCTTAAGTTGGTTAGAGGATCAACTCCTTAACCACACTTAGTTTGTTTGAATTATGTGATTTTTGGATAACACTCAAGGCAAGTGTTACATTTGGTATCAGTTTTAGGTTTATGATTCCTTTTTCCTACTTGGCACCTTAAATACATTACTTTTATGCTCTTTCCCTTCTACCACTAACCTGGACTAATATGGTTTTTCTTTCTCTGGCTTGTTCCTTTAGGAGGGGAGAAAGGTCCGTACGCTTGTGGCCGTACACCTTTCAGTTCTAATATGGCTCGAAGGGGAAGGGGTAGATCGAGGAATGAGGAACGACCACCACCTCTACCTCCTCCGCCTCCACCTCCGCCTCCACCTCCACCACCACCACAGGGGACAGATGCAGTCATGGCTAGGCTGCTTGAAGTTATGGTGGATATACAGCAAAATCTTAGAAGTCATACTGTTCCAGATCAGCATGTTGACCTAAGTGCTGGGCAGGGATCTTCTAGTACTATGGGAGCTCATGCACCAGTTGTTAATAATCGAGAGGATGACATATCTGAACCTTGGAAGGAATTCTCTCGCTCTAATCCGACTACATATGATGGTAGTATGCTTGATGGGAAAGCTGAGGAGTGGTTGGATCGGATGGAGCAGTTATTTACTGTTGTGAGGTGTACATCTGAGCAGAAGGTTATCTTGGCTACGATGCAGCTTGTTGGTGAAGCCAAGCATTGGTGGGATTCTGTTAAGCCCACAGATGGAAGATCTATGTCTTGGGATGAATTTAAAGAAAGATTTTATGATTTTCACTTTCCGCCAGCTTTCAGAGATGAGAAAGAGGCAGAGTTTCATGCATTTCAGCAGGGGGACTTAGACGAGGAGACTTTTATAAGAAAATTCAATCAGCTGTCTAAGTTCTCAACATATCTGAAGGCTTCTAATGATAGCAAGTGGAAAGCAAAGAGGTTATTAGAAAAGATGAGGCCAGAATACCGCCAGCAGCTATCTTTGTTAGGCGAGGCGACATATGATGAGATGTGCAATCGTCTGAGGATTGCCGCTCGCCGAGGCCGAGACACAGAGAGTAGCCGGAGTAGGGATACACGAGGTCGATTTTCTTTTGGGTTGGCTCCTACTGGTGGTGTATCCAAGAGAATGGGTTTTAGCTCTGGTTCTTCTTCTAGTGGCTCCTTTAGAATCGGGTCTTCTTCTGCTTCTGGTAATCGAAATTTAAATAGGGGTTCAAGATTTCAAGGTAATCGGGGTGGTAATATGAGATCTGGGGGTTCTCGTTTCTCTGGGAATGCTCCAGCACGTTCTTCACAGACCAGTCAAGCCCCAATTCTAAGCACAGCGAGGTCACCTTGCAATAGATGTGGTAGGGTTCATTTTGGTCGCTGCTTTGCTTGTTATAAGTGTGGAAAGTTAGGCCATTTGATCCGTGACTGCCCTGATTTACATGAGAGCTCGGACCGGAGGAACGTGATTCCTGGTAGAGTGTATACAGTATCTCAGGAGGAGGCTAGGAAGTCATCGAATCTAATCACTGGTATGGTTTCTATCTGTGGCCTCGATTTAGAAGCTTTGTTTGATTGTGGTGCGACGCATTCTTTTATTTCTGCCGAGCGCTTAGATAGAATGGCTATGCCTGTTGACCAGTTGCCCCATGATATAGAAGTTTCCTCTACTTCTGGTTTGGTTGGTCGATCCAGTGTGGTATGTAGGACTAAGATGACTTTTAATGGGCAATCGACTTGGGTAAATATGATCAAATTACCTATGCAAGGAATTGATTTAATTATTGGTATGGATTGGTTGACAGCTTATGGTGCTGTCTTAGATTGTGTGGCTAAGACAGTGACTTTGGTAGAAGTACCGGAGGTGATCAAGGAATACCCTGGTCATTCTTGTTTTCTTTCTTCTTTACAAGTTGAAAGGTTGATTGAGCAGGGTTGTGAGGCTTACGTGGTAGTGCTCGCTACCCAAGGGTCTGAGACAGGTATAGTGGATGAAATTGAGGTTGTTAGGGAGTTCCCAGAGGTGTTTTCTGAGGATGTATCAGGATTACCTCCAGAACGTGAGGTTGAATTCTCGATTGACCTGGTACCGGGGACTCAGCCAATTTCAAAGGCTCCCTATAGAATGGCTCCTTCAGAGTTAGCTGAGTTGAAGAAGCAACTTGAGGAGCTGTTAGATAAGGGATTTATTAGACCTAGTGTTTCTCCTTGGGGATCTCCTGTCTTATTTGTGAAGAAGAAGGATGGTAGTTTAAGATTGTGTATCGATTACAGGCAGTTGAATAAGGTTACGGTGAAGAACAAGTACCCACTGCCTCGCATCGATGATCTCTTAGATCAGTTGGTTGGTGCCACGATTTTCTCTAAAATTGATTTACGTTCAGGGTACCATCAGCTAAGAGTTAGTGAGAAGGATGTGGCAAAGACTGCTTTCAGGACTCGATATGGTCATTATGAGTTTTTGGTTATGCCATTCGGGTTGACTAATGCGCCTGCGGTTTTCATGGACTATATGAACCGCATTTTTCGACCTTTCTTGGATCAGTTTGTGGTAGTTTTTATTGACGATATACTGATCTACTCTAAAGATGAGGAGCAGCATGCCAGACACTTGAGGACTGTCCTAAGGTTTCTGCGAGATCATAAGCTATATGCCAAGCTCAGTAAGTGCGAGTTTTGGATGAGAGAGGTTAGGTTCTTGGGACATATCGTGTCGGCAAATGGTATTGCAGTTGATCCATATAAAGTTGAAGCAGTCATGCAATGGGAGAGACCAAAATCGATAACTGAGATCCGTAGTTTTCTGGGATTAGCAGGTTACTACCGGCGTTTTATCAAAGGTTTCTCTCAGATTTCTATGCCTTTGACTAGACTCACAAGGAAGGATAGGCCATTTATCTGGGATGATAAGTGCGAGACAGCTTTTCTTGAGTTGAAAGAAAGGTTAACAACAGCTCCAGTATTGGTGATTTCGGATCCTCAAAAGCCCTATGATGTGTATACTGATGCCTCTCATAAGGGTCTTGGTTGTGTTCTAATGCAAGATGAGAGAGCAGTGGCATATGCATCTAGACAACTTAGACCGCATGAGGAGAATTATCCAACACATGATCTCGAGTTGGCTGCGGTGGTCTTTGCGTTAAAGATCTGGCGTCATTATCTTTATGGAACAGAGTTCAGGGTCATGAGCGACCATAAAAGTCTCAAGTACCTGGTGGATCAAAAAGAGCTGAATATGAGACAGAGACGTTGGATGGAGTTTCTTAAAGATTATAATTTTGAATTTAAGTATCATCCGGGGAAAGCAAATGTGTAGTAGCAGATGCTCTTAGTCGCAAGACCTTACATGTAGCCTATTTAATGGTTCGGGAGCATAGATTGATGGAATCTTTGGTTGAAATTTTTTTGGGTATGACTAAGTTCTCTTTGAATGGTCTTAATACTATGGTTATTTCTAATGAATTTTGGAAGAGATACGAGATGCTCAGCTTCAAGATCCGATTTTGTCAAAAATAAGTCAAGACATCGAGAATGGTGAGATAATGGACTATTGGTTTAGTGATGATGGGTATGTGGTTTTCAAGGATAGGGGTGTGTATTCCTAACAATGAGTCTATTCGGAAGAAATTGTTGGATGAGGCACATCGAGTAGCTACACCCTTCATCCCGGTGCTACTAAGATGTATCATGACATGCAGCGTCATTGGTGGTGGCCAGGCATGAAAAAGGATGTCACAGAGTATGTTAGTAAGTGTTTGACCTGTCAGAAGGTCAAAATAGAGCACCAAAAGCCATCGGGGTTATTACAGCTTTGGAGAGATTTAAATGGAAAGGGGAGATTTTCAATGGATTTTGTATCTGGTTTGCGAGGACCCAGGCTAGTTTTGACTCTATCTGGGTAATTGTAGATCGTTTGACTAAGTCAGCACATTTCTTACCGGTCAAGACCACCTATACGGTTGATAGGTATGCTGAGATCTACATTAAGGAGATTGTGCGACTACATGGGGTACCGAGGGATATTGTTTCAGACCGTGATCCTCGGTTTACATCAAATTTATGGCAAGCTATGCAAAGGGCTATGGGTACAGATCTGAAATTAGTACGTCTTATCATCCACAAACGGATGGACAAACTGAGCGGACGATCCAGACATTAGAGGATATGTTGAGGTCATGTGCCCTAGAGCTTCAGGGAAGCTGGGATAAGCATTTACCTCTGGCAGAGTGGCTTAGTAACAAGCTTTATATACAGTATCAGCCAGTATTCAAATGGCTCCTTATGAAGCATTGTATGGAAGACGATGCAGATCGCCTCTTTGTTGGTATGAGTTGAGTGAGAGGACAATGATGGGACCGGATGTGGTAGATGAGACCACAGAGAAAATCAATTGATCCAACAAAAACTTCTTACAGCACAGAGTAGACAGAAAAGTTATGCAGATAATCGTCGTAAGGACTTGTCTTTTGAGATTGGGGATCATGTCTTCCTCAAAGTTTCCCATTGACAGGGTTTGGACGCTCAATTCGGGCTAAAAAGTTATCTCCTCGATATATGGGTCCTTTTGAGGTTTTGAAGAAAGTTGGGCCGGTGGCTTATCAGTTGGCATTACCGCCTCAGTTAGCGGGTCTACACAACGTGTTTCATGTGTCACATTGAAGAAAGTACCAGCCAGACCCGTCGCATGTGATTAGCCCTGAGGAGGTTGAAATCAAGAGAATTTAACCTACCGGACTGACCAGATCGTATTGTGGGATGCTCAGAGGATAAGCAAATCAGAAAAAAAAATCAGAGCTGAGTTGGTAAAAGTGATTTGAAAGGGACAGCTCCGGGAGATGCAACCTGGGGAGACTGAGGATCAAATGAGGAAGGAAATCCAC